TGGGGTGTTGTAGTTAGAATGAGTCAGCTGTCTCTCCACTTTAATTGCTAAGTGCACAACTTCCTCCAATTCAACAAATGCTCGCAGCTCAACTTCCTGGCGAACCTCGCGGTTTAAGCCATGGAGAAAGCGAGTAATAGTCGCCTCTCAATCCTCTCGGACATCGGCTCGCATCATGAGCATTCAAGCTCACGATAGTAGTCTTCAACGGAACGGGCACCTTGCCTTAATCCTTGTAATGTCTCGTGCAAGTCCCGCTGATAATAACCAAGTACAAACCTGTCACGCATAAGACCCCGTAACTCCGTCCAAGTACTTACATCTGGCTGAAGATTTTATCGACGTCGGAGTTGAGTTTTTTCCCACCACTGTGCTGCATAGTCAATGAACTCATACGTTGCGAGGGTCACCTTCTGAGGCTCTGAGTACTCCCCGCATTGAAAGAACAATGTAATTTTACGCTCCCAGTCCAAATACATGGAGGCGTTGTTCGTACCACAAAACGATGGCACTTGCAGCTTAATGCCTCTTCAATCAGCAACATTGTTCCCATGTCCTGCTTTTGGTGGTGGCAACTCGAAATTGCCCTGAATTTGATTCCGTTCAGGCACCCGAATTTCCCCTGCAACATCCCTCGGCTGAACAGGGGCGTTTACAGTTGTTCTAAGTTCGGCCAATTGCTTAGTCAAATTGTCAAATTGGGCTTGGATCGCAGTATTTTGCTGCGCCAGGATTGTTCGAAGCAGCTCCGCGATGTCGCTAATCTCAACCTCCATCACGATCACAGGTTTCTTCTTCCTCTGTTCTGTTAGCAGAATAGCAACAGGGTCACAATCCACTGGGCCCTTCAACCTGGTCCACCTCGCTGTACCGGCGTCGCCTTCCGTTGCCGACGTCGTGAAACACCGCTAAGTAGAACCGGGCTCTGATTACTACTTGATAAGCCCCCAACCCCGAGCTAGGGTTTGATTCTTACGGTTTGAGTTTTGTAGAAACAAAATAGGGGAAAGATATGATGGTTTTGGTCGTGCAACTTCTCGCCGAGAATTGGGGAAGAGGCTCGATCAATTTGAAGTTGCAACTCGTCCACAATTGAGGTGGCTACTCAATTGATGCAGATCTCGCTCGATTGATGGATTCGATCCAATCACACCAAGGACACATTCACGAGACAAACTCAATGAACAAACGTGTTATTCGATTAAAACTTGAATCTATTACAACGCACAAGCAACCCTTAAATAACCCTAGCTAGCTTACAGAACAAGTTAAGATGTCCTAATCCTAATACAATTCGAAAAGAAACCGAAACAAACAAGGAAAGAACGAAAACCCCAAAACAGGCCACTAATCCTATATGGATTCGGATTACAAGCTTCCAAAGAAAGAAAATGTCGTCTTGATACGATCTTCGAACTCTTCGTACGAGTGCTTCCAAGAACCAAACCACTTATCCAATGCCTAGTCGTTGTATTCTGAAACTTGTACTTTGATGGGGAACAAACTATTGAATCCGACTCGTGCCACTCCTCCAGAATTGAGCCTTAAATTCGCGATTTCGGACATGGATTCTGCCTTGGCCACGTTTTGGCAGATTGCCAGTCTCGCCCTACACTTTTGGACAACTTTGAAAATGATTTTCTGGGCTTCATCTCGAGTTCCCAAGCATCCCAAGTTGTAGACAAGCACTACACCTTCAAAACAAATCAATAAACTCTCATTTTCATCGAGCCAAAACGAGAGAACCCGATTTGCAAAGTTAGCTATCCGAGACGACTTCCATGCTTAACTAAAAATCTAAGTGGTTCAAATGAGTTGGGGAAGCTTCTTGAACAATTAGTTTAAGCTTGGAAATGAAGCAACCTAGGGTTATATAAAAAAAAAACAAGTTGAAACAATTAGTCGTCTCCAAACGTAGTCCGGAAATTAAATTTCCGTTTAATCATAAAATTAATTTTATCATATTTTTTATAGAATTTTTATTTATGATAAAATTGACTTCAAATTATGATAAATATTACCATCCTCACATTACCACTAAATGGATCTGCTTAGTCCTAAGAATCATATAAACAACAATATTATGTGGTTATAAAAAAACAATATTTTGTGGTAATCATGTAAGACAATACACCTGCCATTCCAAGGATTTGGTACTTAAGACTAGCTAAACTACAATCAAACAAAGCCAAACCATTGATGAATTTATTTTTTGTTCTAATTAAATTGCGCAATGCAAAGGGGTGGAGAGATGTCTGCTCATTTGGCTCCCATTCTCAAACCAATCCAACCATTAAGTTTATGGACCAATTGTGAACATGTGCTCACAGTTAGGGCTGAAACTGAGTCTGATTCGTCTGTGTGATTCTGTATGAACCCTGTTTTATCCATCTTTATAGGATCAATTTATAAAATTGCTCATCCAGCCTCTATTTTTCTTAGACTCTGTCTGAACTTCTAGAGTTGGGGAGAGTTGGATTTGATTAGGCCGAGTCAGTAGGTCGACTAAAATCAAAACAATGATTTTAAAAAAAATTATATTTTGATACCAAAATATATTTTTCTTATAATTTAGTACATAAACTTTACTTTTATAAATAGGTCGAGAAATTTTTATGGAAAAATTATTTTTTTGTACATTTATATTTTTTTACCTTGGATTATAGTACATAAAATAATAAAACTTTACAAACCGTTCCAATGTGTTGGTACAAGAAATTTCATATTGCTTGGTGTCATATAGTAAAAAAGTGACCATGTCCTAAGCTAACCCAGCCCTTACATGATCGAAAAAAACCCAATCAATTCAAAACTAACACAAACTGCCCCAACATGAGCCCGTTGCTATTGGATCGGGCACGGGTGATCCCAAACAAGCAGTAGAGAAAAACAGATCCCACTAGAGGGTAGGGGTGTTCAAATGGTTACCATGGTAATTACCAAACCAAATAAGCACAATTTCTATCAACCATGAAATACAATATCATAACCAAACCGCCCAAACTAATACAACAACCAAATTAAAATTTAATCGGTTTGGTTAATTGGTTAACCATAATATCCAATATAACATCACATTATCATTAAAGTGATAATATTTTTGGTTATGTATCAATTTAAAATTTATATAGTGAATAACACATAGTTATAGTTAACCCTTAAGATAAATACGTGCAACTAATATAATTATCTTACCGTCAATAGAGTTATTACCAAACAAAGATATATGTCAATGGTATGGGTTAATGAATTGATGTGTTTGTGTGAATTGACTTAGTTTCTTAGCAATTATCATAGGCTGAAAATACCTTCCTTTCAAGTTTTCATCCAACATAATGTATGAGTTTTATCTAAACTAGTCGCCCATATGGTGTGGTCTACACTCTACAAATACAAATATACAATAGGAAATAATATTGAGCTTTATTTTTATGAGGCTAAAATGGAGGGACATTTTACTCTTGAGTGGTTATGCAAATTATTAAATATGTGTATATAATATATTAGATATATGACTAATTACTTAATTGGTTAATTTGGTTTGATTGGTTAGCAGTGAAACCAAACCAAACCACCTAAACCAAACAAGCTAAAAAGTTCAACCAAACCAAACCAATTATCCAAATTAATCAAACTAAATTATCCAAATACTATCGGTTGAAACGATTACCATGGTAAGCACTCCTTTGAACCCACCCTACAAGAGGGGAAATCAAAATCCTTCTCCAGCAATCCCTCTAGTGGGGGTATCACCAACTTCCATGTTCATGACATTCCTACAGAAAAGCAAAGAGAAAAAGTTCATCAGTCAGCCCACCCAGCCACCATTTCCTGGCCTTTCCACCCTTGAAACCCACATATCCCCCACCACACCACCACCTTCCTTTCCAGCTTCTTTTTGTTCCCATATGTATATTTCTGTAATTATTTCTGCAATATTTGTTTAATTATCCCAATCAACTTGTTGTCTTCATATATGGGATGGTGGTGGACTGGTGGTGATTGAATTCCTGCCTGTAAAGACAATACATTATATGCTCACAGACACAGCCGCAGCAGCCATCAAACTCCTCTGTGATGATGTTAGCGATTCCTCCTGGAAAGTGATATCACCAGGATCCAGCTCTGCTCATTTTTCCTTTTTGTATTATTGTTTTCTAAAATGTATTTTTGTGATTATTAGTTTTTGTTTTGAGGTGGGTGGGGTGGGTTGTTTTATAATTTAAAGGGGGTTGTATGTTAATTCTCAAGGGGCCATTGAAAGGAAAAGCCAGCAGAAACAGACACAAAGAAAAACCCCAAGCTCTCTCATCATAATTCCAGGAGGAGAGGAGAGGAGATCTCTCTCTTTCTATATCCCAAGCACTGGACGAAAGCAAACAACTGAGCTCTGCATGTCCTTACTTTGATTTCCTTTCTCTCTGCTATTGGTGGGATATCTATTCATTCTTCAGCATCAGAACACAACTGCAGAATCTCAGGAAAGAAGCTATCAAGAGGCGGCCTTTCTCTCTGAAACCTCTTAAACCCAGGTCAGGAATCCCCCTTTTTCTGCTGTTCAACCCGTTGCTTTCTTCTTTGCTTTTGTTATCTCTCTGTTATTCGCTGAATTTGATATACTGATACAACAGGATCAGAAAGATTCTTCAGCTTCTTTTCTCTCTGATCCACCAGATATCTCGGATTGGGGAAATTCCGAATTCCAGGCCCAAAGTTCGATTCTTTTTCTTGAACCCCCTTCCCCCTTCTTCTCCCCTGAAAGATTGGTGGTTTCTGATCCAGCAAAAGGTAGATTCCTCTTGCCTTACCGATTCCCCGCCTCTGTTTTTCCGTGTCTATATATTGATGCTGATGTATATAAATTGGTTCAGGAAATTGGTCGAATGGGTGGTAGGCATGACTCGGATTGGCAAGGGAACGGGGTGTGGAGATCTCTGAGGGACGGCGATTACGACGAGCAAGATGTTTGGGATGTGTGGCGGCAGAGTAAAACCAATTCCATGGACCAGTACTCTGATCCTCCCCCTTCTTCTCTCCCCTACAGAAACTTCCCCTCCGCCGCCAGAATGATCCCAATTGGCGGCGGAAGTAGCAGCAGCGACAACGAGGCGGGCGCCGCAAAGGTGTTGGTACAGCAGTCAGCCCCCGTCAACATCCCTGACTGGTCCAAGATTAGCGGCCAAAAGCAGTGGCCCAGGAAAAGCTCCAAGAAGCCCACCAATGCGTGGATGGGCTCCGATGATGATGATGACGACGACGATGAGGATGAAGAATGTGGTGACGATGGTGATGACGTGGAGGAGTACGGTAGCAACCATATGGAGCCGCCGCACGAGATGATTTCCAGGAGGATGGCGATGACCCAGATTTCGTCCTTCTCTGTGTTGGAAGGTGTTGGGAGGAAGCTCAAAGGGAGGGACCTTAGCAAAGTCAGGAACGCCATTTTGACCAGAACAGGGTTTCTTGAATCCCCCTGAAATCTGATTTATTCTTTTGCCGATTCGGGTGGATTTTGCACAATCTTTTTTGTGGCGGTTGGTGTCAAAAATTGTAGATTTGGGTGGGGCTTTAATGGCTGTTTAGGATATCTAGCTAGCTAGCAAGGCAGTTACTGGTTAGCTGTTTCTGGTCAGGATTCATCATCATATGGCTTCTTCTTTTACTCTTGTTCAAGTCTCTCTCTTATGGGATTTCATATTTCTGTTTCTGTCTTTTGGGGTGATTGATGCCTATGTGTATAACTGTATATACATCTCAATTCTTCATAAGGTAAAAAATCTTCAACTTGGCATTTCATTCACTTCAACAGTATAATTTATAGCTGAAAAGTAAAACCGCAACCCCCATTCAAATTTTCCTGCGCATAGAGTGATTTTAGGAGTCTGACGTGGCAGGGTGGTTACGCGGGATTAAATTAAAAATTCCCGCCTGACAGGAGAGATAAGAAACCGTCGGTTCCCACTACTTTTTTTGCGGCTGAAATCATCTTCCATTTTCTCCGGGGTTATCTACGTTTTGCTTTCTCCTTCCCGCAGCACGGCAGGATACCCATTTCTCAGCGGACAATTTTGGGAACATGGACTGACGCTTGCTGCTCAGCGGAGGAAGGCATTGACGGCCCGCTGATGTGGAGTTTACCGTGCCGAGATTCTGCAGTTTGGAACGAGCGGCGAACACCTGATTGAGCGAGGAAGACCTGCGGCTAATTGACGGTGAATTCCCCAGCCAACCGGCGAATCGAAGGTGAGTCATGATTTGTGGTATTTGTTTACCCCCGCTGATTCGAACAATCGGATTTGGTAGTTATGCGGTGAACGATTCTCCAGCCAACCGCCGATTTGAAGGGGAGGCGAGATTGTTTCGGTTAGTTTGCTCCTGCTGCTTCTCTCAATCCGGATTAGGTAATTCTGCGTTGAACCCTTGCCAGCCAACCGACGATTTGAAGGGGAGTCAGTAATTTTTTCTGTTTGTTTTGCCCGGTTGCTTCTCGCTGTCAGATTTGTTAGTATGATATATATGCGTTTTGGGGAAGCCCGCAATTCCTCTATTCGCAATTGGATTTGGTAGTCTGATCTGCATATTACCTATTACTGTTTCCATCATTTACTTCGCTTATCTTTAGTTTTATCTGATTGAGTTTCCATGTGTACCCAGCTAAATTGATAGGCCAACCCTTCCTGTACCTCCTGTGTCCTTATCGCAGCTTAGAAGGAGACCACGTCTTCGGCGAATTCGGCGACTACAAGCCCCTCGAAGCCAAGGAAAACAGGGGAAACCAGGGGAGCCGAGTTCCAAAGAAGGCATAAATAATTGAGCTCTGGTTTAGATCCCAGCTGCAACTGGTAGGTTTCTCGCCCTCTTTCATTGATATTCCATTTCAGTCTCCTTTCTGTTCCGGATATTTAGTTCTAAATTTGGGTTTAGCCCATCGTACTTGATAGATTTGGTTCATCATCTTCTCCAATTCTTTTCTGATCAAAGAGACGACGACGAAACTAAATTATGATTACTGAGAGTGAACCATACAAGAAGAAAACGAGCTTTGTATTCGCATAAGGAGAAAAGGCGAGGGATGGGTTAGCGGCGGCGGTGGGTTTCTGACTCTCTTTCGTTAATATTCACTTTCTGACTTCTTATTTAGTGTGTTGATTTTTGGGTCTACGTTATGATTTTCCCTTACTATACTACATGGATTTGGTTCATCATTTTTGCCCGTTCTTTCAGATTGAAGGAACGACGACGGGAACTCGATGATGGCAGGAGAAAGTGGAAAATGAGCGTTGGGTTTGCAGAGGAAAGAATAAGGATGATTAAGTTAGCGGAGTAGAAAGAAGGCAAAGCCAGGTAGTTCAAGTTTGGCGACTTCCTTTCAGTTTGATTGGGTGTTTGTGATAAGTCTTAGTTTGGTCAACATATGAGGACTTTCATGAATACAAAAAAGGCTAAGAGGCAGAAGAAGCAACAGCAGAGAATTAATTTTCCCTGGTCAAATCCCCTGGTCGCAGTTTACAAAGACATAGAAGGCAAAGAGAACGGCAGTGGAAGGAGGAATAAGAAGACGCACAAAATCGAAAAGGTGAAGAACTCTATTACGATTGTGAAGGAATAACACAATCGACATGGTGGTGACCTTCTCTCTTTGCTTCTGTTTTTTTTTTTTTTGTTTAATTTCTTGTGATTTATTCGCAGGTTAATGAGCTTATGCCAGTTTTGGGTACTTACCTTCCAAATAGCACATTAGGAAGCTTTCACTTGCCGAGTTCAACTTATTAATCAAGTGCTTGCCATTAATGGTGGTTTGGATGTGTTTGGCTCCATTTTCTATCTTCCAGACCTCGCGGTTTGAGGAACAAATTTTATTCATTAAACACTATTTGAGGATTGAATGCTTTTTCCTATTAAGAAATACTATAACTATGTTGATTTTTGTTATTTATTATGTGTGTTTTGTGTTATAATTGAAGACATACATGTTGAACTTTAGATATAATAATATTTTATACGAGACGGGTATTATCCATGGGTATCCGAAAACCATGGGTATGGGGATGAGTTTGCAAAACCTCCCACTGCATGGGTATGGTGCGGATATGGGTTTGGGTATTTGGTAATGGGAATGGGGATGGTTTAGGCAAACCCGCCCCAACCATCCCTAGCGACGGCTGGGTTTCATCGGTGGAGGGATACAGAAGGGAGTTGGAGAAATATTAGTTTCTACCCACTAATATTAGTTTCAACCCACTAATTAATTCTTAAAACAACAGCTACTTCGATGACTATGTTCTGTGCTAATATGGATGATTGCTAAGTGGGTTATTAATGTTTACTTCCTGATCCGTTGGACATTTAATAACTCACTTTTGTGCATATACCTTATAAATATGCCACATGCTAGCTCATTTTGTTATGGGTTGTTAATTGCAAGGACCAACATAGGCGAAAAGATAATTGTGACCAGATCACATACAGATTTCTCATATTGGGAATCGCGTTTTAATCAATAAACCATGAGATTGTCAGAGAATCTTGAAGATGACATGTTTTTAATCAACTATTAATAATGTATTGTATGTTGGCTAATATGGCACCATGATAATTCTTCCCAGGTTTGTTGTTTGGATGGTTTTACGTTTTCTTTACTTTTATGTCTTTCCCATCGGTCTCTTTGAATGCTCGATTTACAAATCTAATTTATGGATGTCACTTATTCCAAATTAATGGGGACCAAAAAATTTCAAATTCGATAGCAAAACTTTTCATCCTTGACCTTTGATTTGATTAGAGTTTTAGCACCTACTTCCAAATTTAGGAGTTAGACAAATCTCGCATGTGTTGAATTTAGATACCAAATACATAACTGAAATATATGATCCAAACGATGTTCACATTTGTTATTGAATATCAAATTGATTTTCTTTCTTTATGAAGTCGTGAATCTTTTTTCATAAAATCCCATTTTCACGACAAACGATTGTATATTTGAATCAACAAGTGTTTTATTTAATAAAATTTCAAATAAATACTTCAAATATTTGAGATTTTGGTCAATATAATAGCTTGGACTATCCTTTTACGTCATTGTCAACTCTTAAAACCACAAATATTTTTCGTGAATCATATAAAATTAAAGATCCCAAATCAAGTAAATCATAAATATTGATAAAATAAATTATACGAAATAGAATGAAATTGATCCGACCAACGGGTCGGGTAAAAGCTAGTTATAAATTAAGTCAAAATGATGTTGGTATAAATTAAAGACTTCAATTATGATTGCTCATGTATTCTTCACATCCGTTAATAGGATTCTATTCCACCGTATAAAAATTGAGTTAGCATTAGAAATTAGTGCTGTCAATTTGGTTTAGTTTGGTTACCATTAAGTATCAAAAACCAAATCCCAAAAACCAAAAAACCAACATGTACTCAACTACTCATACACTCATATTTATTCCTATTTTCCTCCTTTTTATTGAATAGACGTCATAATAATGGTAAATGGCCTTCACAAATTATTGGTTGGCATGTGTGTCAAAAGAAACAAAAAAATAAATAAATATTTGTTTATAAATAATTTTATTCTTATTGGTTCCTTAATGGTTTCTATTGTTTTTTGGGTTTTAACCAACCCAAAACCATTAAGTTGCTTATTGGTTTAAAACCAAAAAACCGAAACCATTAGCTTTCCAATTGGTTTGGTTTCGGTTAAAACCAAAAAACCAAAACCAAATGGACAGCCCTATTAGAAATAGGTGTGGTAATGGGTGGGTTTTTGCCTCAAATTGATTCTTCTGCTTATTAGTAGGTTTGTATAATTGTGATCCACTGTGCACTCACATTCTTTTTCCGGGTTGGTGGCGGATGGATGTGGTTGGCTTGTGGGTTAACCCGTAACAACAATTCTTTAACTAGTAATTAAGAAAGTTGACTACCTTTTTAACAAGTTCCTCCCATATTAGTAAGAATGTAGCAATTTTGGACACTTTCCACTTTGTCATATGTGGATCCGCGTAATATTTGAATAAAAAATTTCATTACCCCATCAACCAATAGTGTAAAAAAAACTTACGCATTTTGTGACTTAGATACAATTAATAATTTATAATTTGCATGCCAATATCTAAATCTAATGAACATTACACGACATTGTAACCAATAATAGTAGTCCCTGAACATCTTTTCGCCTTTAGAAGTTGATGATAAGCATGTAGAGCGATAAGGAAATATGACGAATGTTTGATAGTATAAATAAACAAGAAGCAAATTTTTGTCATGTAAAAATAAGGTGCGGCTTACTTACATCAATCTCCCACCTGTCAAGTTATTTGCAGATGGATCGATATCAAACCTCGAATTAATCACTCTCGTCCCCACTCCTGATTAAAAACTCATGAGATATGACCCTTTATGAATCTAACCATGTTTACAGATATTATGTTTAATCCAAACTCATATAAAAAATTTACCACTATATAGT